CATTCATTCATTCATTCATTCATTCATGTGGTTTTTTTGAGACAGGATTTCACCATGTTGTTGAGGCTGGCCTTGATCTCACTATGTAGCTCAGGCTGGGCTCATATTTATAGGGATCCTCTTGCCTCAGCTTCTTGAGTGCTGGGATTATAGGTATGCACCACCATGCCTGGCATATAGCATTTACTATTATGAAAAGTTTTTTTTTTAAAGGAAAAACAGCTGGGCATGGTGGCACATCCCTGTAATCCCAGCACTAAGGAGGCTGAGGCAAGAGGATCACTTTGAGTTTGAGCCCAGCCTGGGCTACACAGTGAGTTCAAGGCCAGTCTCCTGAACTACATGGTGAGACCCTGCCTTAAAAAAAAAAAAAAAAAAGAGAAGCATTCATTTCTTTTTTAAAATTAGTATATAATTGAGATACATAATGGATACATTCATCATAGGGGATTTGTACCCGTACACAACTGCATCTTGAGCCTTTTTACTTCCCTTCCCTCTCCTCCCTCCTGTCTCTCCCAATCTCCAGATGCCTTTCCCATCTCTGCAAAGTCTACCTCTCTGTTCCCTATTATCTATTATTTTCTCTTCAGAGTATTTATACTCAGCCAGGCATGGTGGTGCATGCCTGCAATCCCAGCACTCAGGAGGCTGAGGCAGGAGGATCACTGCACGTTCAAGGCCAGCCTGAACTACTTAGCAAGACCCTGTCTCAAAAAAAAAAAAAAAAGAAAAAACCAAACAAACAAATTATGCTTTCAGTTTGTCATACAGTAGAAACTATGCAATATTTAACTTTCTGTGTCTGATTTATTTCACAGCATTATGTTTTCAGGGTACACCCATTTTCCTACAAATGACTCAAATTATCCTTCATTATGGCTGAGCAGTACTGCACTGTTTGAATACACATTCATCAGTTCAAGGGTATATAAGCCTCTTCCAAGAATAATTTTTCTTTTTGAGGGTCTTGCTACATAGTTCAGGTTTGCCTTGAACTCACTATGTCATTCAGGGTGGCCTTAAACTCTTGGTGATTCTCCTGCCTCAGCCTCTCAAGTGCTGGAATTATGGGCATGTGCCACCACACCTGGTTTAAGGGTTTTGATAATATAATCCCCTGAAAGAGTCTCTGTGACCCCAGATTACACCTTTAGAAGCGCTAGCCAATAGAAATAAATACAAAAGACCAAGGCATTTTATCCATATGGAGTAGGTTCTTTTCGTAAAAGACGTTCTGCAAAGGCACTATACCCAGTCAAAAACGGCTTAGTTTTGATGACTGCTCAACTTGTGACCATAACTAAACAGCAGAAAGATGACTGATTTATGAGGTTTTCCTACGAGTGGAGGGCCTGTTTTCAGGGAAACGCTGGCTCTAACAACTCCAGCTTTATTGTGTGCTAAAAAGAGTTTATAATTATGTCAACATAGCTTTCCTTCTCATAAAAATGATGATAGTAGCAACAAGGTACATCCTGAGGATTAGTGTCTGGCTGGGTCTTGTATTACCAAGTCCTTCTAGATGGTTATTGATCCCCAGGAAACGCTTGCCTCTCAACTGTTACTGTTTAATTAATGTTGTTGAGGCTGATGCTACCCAGTAGCAAACCCACAGAACCCTGCGTGTTGATTTTAATCACCACTGCTGTTGGGATACTGCAAAAGTAGCAGTCAATTATCTTTTTTTTTAAAAAAAATCTATTCCACTGGGTTTAACATAGGAAATTCTGAACATATTTAGTGGTTTTAGAAAAGCTTTCTTTTACCTTCAGCTTTCAGAAAAGAATAATGAAATTTCTGAAAAGAATAATGTTGCATTTTAAAATGAAACCTGGGAGAAATTTTAAAACTCTGTGATTTGACCTGAGTGGATCTTTTGGGTCTAGACTTGAAAAAAACAAAACAAAACATAAATCCGCTCAACAACAACTATTACTATGACTAAAGCAACACTACTCAGAAGAGACGCTAACGCGTACAAACATAAATCCTCATCTCCCAGCACTGACGCAGTGGAGAGCTGTACCACAGAGCCAGTAAGCTGGCATCTTTTTGGCAATTCTGTGACCAAGGAAATGCTGGGACAGTCTTTGGTGCCAGCACGCAAGGTTTCTGGAAGGGACTCCTGGTGCTCATTAATACGAGGACCTGAATCAATTATTAATGACAAAAGTTAGGAAACTGGATGAAGTGCTAAATCTTGACAGCCATGATGCGCCTACAGCTACCAGCTGTGTTCAACGAAGGGAACCTGTGGGAAGACAGAGTCCTTCTGTGATCCCGCATCCCCAAGATCGTGCTTCCTTTGTTGGCTCTGGCATTTTAACTGTGAATGTGCACGGGTATTCTTTGGAAAAGATTATGCCATTAGTAAGTGCTGAGAACATTCAAGTTCAAGGAACATTTTACCTCAAGATGATCAACAATAAACTTCAATTCACAAAAGAACTGAGACACGGTCAAAATGAAATTCTTGATCACCCTCCTCAAACCTTTCTTACGGTCTTTACTAAAGTGGCAGCTTCAACCTTCTAATAGTTATTTAGGACATAGTTTTGTATGTGCTGCTGAAGTGAGCACACACTATACAATTTTGGATTTAACCTTGATTATGCTCTCTTTCTCATTCCCCACATGCAACCCCGCTGGTTCTTTAAAATATGCACAGTCTCCATCACTTCTCCCTGTCTACTTCTACCACCCTACTAGCCACGCGCCACTATCACCTTCTGCTGGGATGACTGCAAGGGCCTCCTAACTAGTCTCTCTGCTTCCACGCTCCTTGCCCCACACTTGAGACATAGTGCTTCTTCTAAAATCCAAGTTGATTTTACAAACACCTTAAAAACAGTAAATGCAGGGGCTGGGGATTTAGCTCAGCGGCAAAAGCGCCTGCCTGGCAAGTGCAAGGTCATGAGTTCGGTTCCCGGTACCGGAGAAAAACCAAAAAAAAAAAACAAAACAAAACAAAACAAAAAAACAGTAAATGCAGGCAAGAACCATCAAAGAATGCTAAGATAACTAGGTAGCAACCTATTGGGAAACTGAATGTTTCTACAGACGCAAAGCTATTCTATTCTTTCCCATCACAGGGAATAGGATCTTTATGAGTGAAAGATTTTGAATCTGATGGACACGATCTGAAGACATGACAGCTACATCACCAACAACAGGACAGGCTGGTGTTCTGTGCCTCCCGTCGTGAAGCACTGAGAAAGACTCAGCATCACTTCCTTGGTGTCCTACAAAAATGCACTTCTTCAACTATTCGTGAAGGAACAATCAGACAGACAACCCAAATGAAGAAGCACTCTCCACACCAAACGGCTGAGCTTTAAAAATGCCAATGTTAAAAAAATGCAAAAAAAAAAATCAACTTATGTTATGTACAGGTACAAATTCCCTATGATGAATGTCATCATTTTGTATACCTAAAAGGGACTAAAAATTAATTTAAAAATGTCACTGTTATGAAAGACAAAGAAAGGCTAAGAAACTATTTCAGGATAAAGGAGGGTAAAGATACAATTTCATGACAAAAGTGTCAAAAGTAATTTTGGATAGGACCGTGGAGCAGAAAAAACAGAGTCACAAAGGTAATTATTAGGACAGCTGGGAGAAATCTGATATGAATTGCATACTATATACTAATATTTTATCAATATTAAATTCTCTCAACTTAATACATTGTGGCTATATAACAGAGTGCCTTTGTTTTTAGGGGACACACATTGGACTACTTTTGTTTTATGTTTGAGATCGGTCTTTCTATATAGCCCAGGCTGGCTTTGAACTTGCAATTCTCCTGCCTCAGCCTCCCAAGTGCTAGGATTAAAGGCATGTGCCACCATGCCTGGTAACACACTTGAAACATTTTGGTGTGAAGAATCAGGAAGTTTGCAACTTTTTGTTGGCTCAGTAAAAAAGTGTGTGTGTGTGTGTGTGTGTGTATACAGCAGAGAAGCAAATACAAAAAAATGTTAACAATTGGTTAAATGTTAGCATGTATGTTTGTTCACTCAACCATTACTGTAATTTTCTGTAAGTCTGAAAATTTTCAAAACAAAATACTTTTTCTGTAATTGAAATAATGCCACAAAACCCCGCTGAGCACACCGCCACCTTTGGATATGATCTCCCACTGCCCTACTCTTCACACTCGGTACTGTCTTCCCTGTGCCATGTGCGTGGCCACTTCAGGGCTCTGTGCTGCTGCCCTGTGCACAAAACACTCTTCCCCGTGCTCCTGGGGCTCACGGGTCACTTCCTATCAGCGGGGCTTTCTCAAGCCACTCCTCCCTCGAGAGGCTATCTGCCACTCCTGCACCTTGTGCCTTCCTGTTCCATTTTCCTGTATAGCACCTATCGCTACCTGAGCTTCACCTATCAGCCCTCTCTTCCCAAGGAGCAGAAGCTCCCTGAAGGCAGGGCAGTGGCACTGTTCCTGGCCAAATCCCCAGCCTCAAGAACACTACTACTTGCTTGGTGGAAGAGCACTCAGTAAGAACTTGAGGAATTCACAGCTTTGTAAATGCTCATTTGAAAAAACTAGCGCACTTGTTCACACTCCTGAAATTTCTGGGTGAAGGACCGCTAACTAGTACTTGACACTTTTTCAGGAATGTATTTCTGATCAACCCTGCTACATGAAGTTGCTCCCTAGATGATTTTCCACTTGTGGAACTGCGCCTGAAGCAGGAAACACGGGTGATAGGGAAACGCACACTGTACTCCCATTCCCCACTCACACCCAATGACAGAAACCTGCATACCCTGCAATTACATGCGCCGTTTCCCCACCGCACCCTCTTCTGAGAACTCACAGGTCTAAAACCCTGAGCTCCCGAGGACAGAGGATGGCATTCCACAGGGTTCCTGCTACTCTGGGTTACTCAGGTCAGCGCAAGCTGGCAAGGAGACAACACAGGACAACGGTTTTCCCGACAGGTGCCGACATGCGCGCTCCAAGAGACAGCGCACTTCCCCAAGTTACTTACGTCTGTGGAGGTGGGGCTGGGCAGGGACACAGGCTGCACAGGTGGAGGGAAAGTGAATGTGGTCTCTGTCTTTTCACTTTCGGGGGAGTCGGGATGACTGGATGGGGGGGATGTTGGGGTAAGGGCTCCAAACCCCAGCACTGCATTGTATTTTGGAGGACGACCTATATACCAAGAGAAGGGAACAAAAGGGGAAAAGGGGGAGGGAAAGAGAAGGGGAAAACGATCTTACATACCTTTGGCCAGTGCTCCTCATTGGCTAGCATGGAAAAGGAAGTGAGGTAGCAGACAGAAGGTTAATACAACAGTCCCAAAGGGAGGAAGAGAAGCAAAGATTTAAATGTCATTAGAAACAACTACACGAATCTCCAAAGGCAGAAGAGAGCCTGGGAGAGAGAGAGGAGGTGCTGGCTATGTAACGGACCTCACTGTGGGCAGACTATGGTGATGCTCCTGGACTACCGCAATTTGAGATTGCTAGTGCTAGGACCAACACACCACAGGCAGCGGAAGCCAAGGTCAGGAACACGGGTGCTTCTTCCCCATGCCTCTGCATCTCTCTCTCTATGACTCTCTGCATTTATCATTCCCACTGTCACACTCGTGATTCTCAGTTCCCACAAATGGATGTCTTTAGCATTTCCGCTTTCCACGTCTCTCCTGCCTGCACTTTGGTCATTTTGTAGCTGATGAAGCTAGACAAGGAAAAGTGAGGAGGGAAAATTCAAGGAAATTCTTCCCGGCCCTTGCAGTTAGGGCCTTTGAGAGAGACGTTCTAGGAGTAGCTGGAACCTAAGAGCAACAAGAGGGGCTGGGCCTGACAACAAATTTGAGTATTTCTGGCCCTGGACACTTTCCCCAGTAGACTAAAAGCTATCGCCTCACTTTACACCTCATTCTGGTGAACTACACAGGGCTGTTCCAAAGTCCCAGGGAAGGGCCTGCCACCAGCACTCCCGAGAGGCATGGTCTGAGACAGAGCACCTTAAATCAAACTTCATTCTGTGAGGCTTCTATACATGAGCCCCGGGGTGCAGGAACTGTGGGGCCAGCCACCCATACCCTTAGCACATATCTAAGCAGGGGTCTTCGTCTTCTAAGAGCTAGGGTCACAGCTTCTAAGATGTGAGTGATTAGGAACACAGCCCAGCACACCAAAGGAAAAAAAAGCCACGGAGGTCCAGATCTGCTTGTAAGCACTGGCAAATGGTGTACGTGGGATTGCGACTTTGCTAACAGTTACAACTTATATTAGGATTACACACAGACTCACGATCCCATCAACCATTACACAAATAGTACTGGTGCTTAACTGGCAGTGCCTACCATACAAAGATCTTTGTCTTTTCTAGGGAATTTACTGCTGCAAGAGTGCAACTGGAGATGAATGTTCTTTGTTTATCCATGGAAGGCACATCCTAGGCATTGTAAATGCAGGTTTTTATCCTTTGACCTTGGCAACAGGCTCCAAGGTCTCTCTGGCTCATTTAACTCCTGTCCTCTCAGCAGAGACTACCCACCAGTAGGCCGATTAATTGTGGCCTCTGGCTGGGGGGCTTGTTTCTGAGAATTGTGTCAGAGGTCACTAAAATAGCTGAACACAAAACAACAGAGAATAACTTATGGCACTAGTTATTTTGGCCTGGGAATCAATATGAACCATCCAAGTATTTTTGGTTACGTGAAAGATAGGACTGCTGCAATATCAGGATGGTTCACTAAGGGTATGACATCTTTTTTGGGGAAGGTATAGTTGTAGTTCTGCCTAAGGCAGACAAAGGGTCAGGATGACTTTCTAAGCTTCTGATAGCTCAGAGATTGCGTGTGCACACACAAAATTAGTATGCTGGTCCACTCACTCTGCAACCTTTCTAGCCTGGAACTATAATTCAGGGACACATTACCACGTGGAGAAAGGGACTTTGGGATGTATTACTGACATCAAAGAACAATCTCAGTACCTTGTTTATGAGCTCAAACCCTGAGCTATTAAGACCTACTTAGACCTGCTGGGTGAGAGATGCCACTGCTGTTTTTCTGCCCTGAGAATAAGGTGAATGCTTACAGACGGTCTGAAAGGTAGAAACAGCTCTTCAGGAGTCCGTTAGGGGGAACTTGTTTTGACGGTGACCTTTTCTTCCTTAGCTGGAGATGCCCTGTTCTCAAAGACTCTTAAGTTGTCTCCTTCCTGGAAAGTCTGCAGCCACAGAAACTAGAGTCACGTTCTAGCCTCCCTGGCAGCAGGATGAGTGAGGCACTATTAAGAACACCTTGGCAACAGCAGTGCTCTGGCTCTGCTTAATGATGCTAAGATGCTTCCTTTCACACGGTGTTCTGTTCCCTGTGCTATTCATGGATGGCCTGGTAGGCTTGGGGCAGAAATGCTGCATTAAGCTGCTCTCTTGAGTCAGCTCTGCCAGAACCCAGACAAGTCAGCTTTTGACTCTGTACACAGAACTCTAATAAGAAATCTCACTCTCTTTCCCCCCATACTCGAAGAACAAGAACGAAAGTATTTTCAAGGGAAGGAGGGGTCAGGTCTGGGGAGGGTAATGGGAGGGGCGGAGAAGAAACAACATGGAAAGCAAAAGCAACAGCAAAGCAGAGGTTCAAAAAGGCACTCACCTCTCTTCCGGGTCCCCGGATGCATTGTGCTGTTTAGGTAGGTGACTGCACTCTTCTTGCGCTTTGGGGATTGAAGAAAGAAAGGTGACTGGCACTGCCATGAGCAAAAGACTGCCTACAACGTGCCAACTAGTTAAGAGTTAATCACCCTAAGGTCTCAGGGATAACAGGTTTTATCACATGTACTTGGCTCTCAGAGAATATTCTAGAGAGGTCTGCCTCTGCTTCAGATGAGAGCTGTGAAGTCAGGATGAATGAACATTTTAAGACATATTTGTGTCTGCTCAGACTTAGAAAAGAAAAACCTATAGGGTAAGCAGTGAGTCACAGAAATGAAATAATGGGATGAACTGGGGAAAAATCCTTCATTTCACAGAGCTGGCCGAGTACAACCAGGTGCAGCTCATGGGCAGGTTTTCAGATGGGAGGTACCGAGCACCCTAGGAATCCAGGATCTGGGAGGGAAGGACCAGGCGCTGGCAAAAGTACCTCTGGCTCAAAGACTGCTCCGCTGTACACTGGGTTTGCTGTTGTTCTTCTTTTTCGCTCTTGTCTCTTGCTTTGGATTTCTTGGGAAAAGAAAAGGCTCCAATTAGAAGACAGGTACGGAGAGCCTAAGTAATGGAACTTCACTGTTTATCTATTGGTTTTCCTGTAACAAATCAGGGACAGGGACAAGTCTGTTTTCCTGCAGCCCACACATAGGCAAGCACCCTCGGAAGCAACTGCGTGGGACTGTCTACTGTCACCTCTCAGGAAGCAAGGCCACAGCATTCCACAGTGCGGCTCTCTGTGATCGAGAGCTTCACAGTATGCCATACTTGTAAACAAGCTGTCCTGGTTTATTTTTAGACTGCTTGTACATAGGTCTGGATGAACTTTCTCCACAGACTTAGACTGAATAACAAAAGTTCACTGGTCTTGAACTATGTAACCAAGTCAGGTGGGGCTTTGCAACTGTCCTTAAGATTCAGAATGATGGGAAAATGCAGACAAGGGTTTGTTAGATGAGCACTTGTCACTTTGTGCTGTCAAAATGAAAAAGGTGAAGAAGTCACCCTAATTCAGGGAGCAGGGACGTTTTCTGCAGGGACGGGTATGGATGATGCTAGGCAGGGGAGGGCCTGACATACGGTGGAGGGAAGGCAACCTTTCCTCTAAAGGAAATAAAGTCCACATTGGTTGAATCACACTCTATTTGTGTTCCAATTTTCTATTCTAGGAATTCAATCAAACACCACTTTCAGGAACAAAGCTGTGGGCTACAGAGAAGGCAGTGCCAAGAATATCTTCTCTTACCTTCTAGATGGTCATGTGTTACCAACCCTAGAGACACCATGAAGGCAAGTTTCTGTGCCAGAGAAACAAACAAACACAAAGAACACACTTCAGTCTGGGTTCTTGCAAGGACGTTAGGTTCCTAGTCAGACACCAGGGAAAGCGGACCCGGTGGGCTGGGACTTGTGGGAGGCTGGATTCAGAGGAACCAAGAGTGGGTAGCCTCCCTGCTGGGCAGCTCCCAAGCTGCTCTGGTGTATTCTCGCCAAAAGAAGGGTGGGACCTACATTTCCCACTTTCTCAGTGTCAGAAACCAGCATCTTTGGTGTGGGGGCAAAGACAGGGTGCCCCCATGTAGTTCAGGCTGGCCTTGAATTCAGGGTGATCCTCCTGCTTCAAGAAATCAGCTTCTGGAGTGACCCAAGATTCTTTTTTTTTTTCCTTTGAAATCTTAAAAGAGGATTTCATCTTTGAAAACACAGAGCAGGTTTAAAGGGCCTCCATGTCACAACTTCCAAATTCCAGGCCACAATTTCACGTGTCATGACTAGGTTGGGGGTTCTCCCATTTTTACTGCCACTGAATAGATAATGCTGACTCAAAGCTAAATGATTTTTAGGAAGGACAACAGGGACACTCAGTATTATGACTTTTCAATTAAATATGGACCTAAAAATTATGGAGCAATTTCTCTCTGTAAACTATTTTGAGGGCTCCATCAGAAGAAAGGATTATTGGTACACTGCACCCCAAAGATTTCCAGCTGGAGAGAACAACAGATTGATTTCTGTTCTCTGGTTTTCTGGGGTCTTCATTTTCAGCGTACCAGCGCATGTGGTTTTGAAATAGGCCAAATGATACATCATCAGTTTTGTTCTCTGATGAATAAAGAATATCTTCAATTATCAGGAGCCATACTCCTGCAGTTATTAAACACTAGAGCTTGGTCTTTAAAAATTTTGACATCTCTTCCTTAGCATTAAACATTATATACTTTGGCCTGAATGATAGATTCAGCTTATTCAAGACACGTTCCTGAACAGGCTACTTGAGAGTGTAGGAATGTCCTTTATTGGTATCATCAGGGTCCTGAAGACATATTTTTATTTTTGTTTCAAAAATGTATCCTCTTGACAGCCAGAATATTCTGGTAAGGAAAACTAATCCCTGGACGCACTACCCATCTTCTCTGCATCACACTGAAATGGTGTATATTTTGTGACTGCCAATTAGCCACATTCCTCATTGGCACTATATTTTAAAATATACTCATGATTAGGAGGCTGTGCACTAATGTCTTCTGCTAATACAGCAGTGTGTGACTTGATATTCAGATGCATCCTCTTTTAATCAAGCAATAGCACCCTTCTTAGCTACTCACATCCAGCTCCTCTTTGCAGGTCTAGATTAAGCTCGTAATGTAATTGTTAAGTGAAAAAAATCTCTCTTGTAGAACATATTCTCGATGACAGAATAAAAAGTTATCAAGGAGTTTTCTCTCCACCCCACATATACCAAATGCTAATTTACTGTCTGTATGGCAGGGATTCTGTTCAAATAGAAGGTAAAATATCTGCAACTCCACAACTGGCACGTGCTGCCCATTCTGTGTGCCACCGACGTGGGACTCGCTTCACTTTCTTTCCCCTTTCTTTCTGCCTTCCTCCTTTTCCCTCTCTCTCTCAGTGCTAAGGTTCAGTTTCTTTTGATAAGGCAGCTCGCTAATGGTTTGCTCTATTTTCCCTCCACCACTGTGTATCTGTCATTAATTCTGCGGATGATTTTACAAGTTCCTCAGCAATTTGTACCGCATGTACTTTGTGGTTTAAGTTTTGTTCCTTTCTTAAAAGTTAAAATTAAAAATTCATTTCACATCAGAATTACATTTGGTACTTATTTTAGAAAATATGGACTAACTCAATAAATCACTGCTTTTTTATAAAAAAAAAATAACATAAGGCTTTGATGGCTTCACACCACTGACATGGTTTCAATACAAAGAATGTAGCAAGGACAGAAGGAAATGGAGTATTGGTCTGATAAAACCAACTATCAGATATTCATTATCGCATTATCTTTCCATATTTTTCTTTTATAGTTTGTGCAAAAGCATCAAATTAAAATATTCTCTTGTCTGGGGCTGGGGATTTAGCTCAGCGGCACAGCGCCTGCCTGGCAAGCACAAGGTCATGAGTTCGATTCCTGGTACCAGAAAAAAAAAAATTCTCTTGTTTAAGACATACAGATCCACAGTCTATGTTTGTAGCAGGGTCCTGTGTGCTCTTTATCATTCTATCCTAAGTTGTAGTGTAGATGTTACTATTTGTCATCCCTTCTTTGGTGTTTAAATAAACAATTTTAGGGCTACTGGTTCATTTGGGATTTGGAGTGCTAATGCAATAAAATGGCAGTAACAAAAATGCACATTTAACTCCTATATTCAATAATGTAAACAGATATTAGCTGAGTGAACTGGACATCTTACAAATGTTTGAGAAAAACAGAACATAATAATCACTTGGAATAAAACAGTACAGCTGGGAAAATTATCATTACTCTTATATTTCAAAATTGTGGTATGTATACAGACAATGTCATCTTAAAACTATTCCTTTGAAATACTAAAATACATGGCACTGCAAGGCCTTGTTAGGACCACACTCTAAGAAACCTGCCCTAGGCCAACCTAACTTGGCAATAAAATATTGAATAATGAGAACAGGAATGTGGAGTGGTTCACAAAGCAGGTGTCCCTCCTGCTGTGTGAGAATACACCACACATCATCGACCGAGTCATCACAGACTAGAAAGATGGGCCTACCTGTGGGTTTTCTTCCCGTTTTGGTTTGGGTGCAGCAGGAGGGGTGATGGTACGGCTTTCTGTTTGTTTCTCATCTGTTTCTGTGTGGGATTTAACTGTCTAGGAGAGAAAAATTAAATGAAAATTCAAAATTCATTTTTTATTAAAAGAACAAAAATAAGAAGCAGTTTAATTGTGGCCGAGATGAAACAAAAGAACATACTCAAATCTGGAACATATTAATAGAGGAGTTCATATCATGGATTTCATGGGGGAATAAAAGTTAAAAATCCAGCTGAAGATATTAGATACCAAAACTGCAGTAAGTAGCGCTCTATACATGCAATAGTCTAAATTACACAAAGAGAAAAATTCATGGCTTGATTCCTGTGTATAAAGATGAAGTACAGGGTGCTCTCTCTGATTTCAATATTTTGTAGGAAGTAAGATTAGTTTCCCAGAAGCAAGGCCACTGTCATTATATATGGGTCAAGCTCTAGCCCACAGCACACTACAGAGCTCAGATGGTAAACATTTTTACGTTTACCATCTTACATATACACTCTTCTTCTTCAGAATAATCCCAATCTAGAGAGAATGGAGAATTACTGCCTGGCGTGGTGGTGCACACCTGTAACCCCAGCACTCGGGAGGCTGAGGCAGGAGGATCGTTGTGAGTTTGAGACCAGCCTGGGCTACAAAGTGAGCTCAAGGCCAGTCTGAACTGAATAGCGAGACCCTGTCTCAAAAAGACCAAAAAAAAAAAAAAAAAACCTACCTTTATTTGGGATATTTAAAGTCTGCCTATATCACATCTAAGGAAAAGAGAGATGCAACTACTAAGGAAGGGCCATTTTGCAAGAGGTTAGAGTCCTGATTACTCCCAACCCATTCTAGAAGCATCTACATGAACGTCAGAAGCACCAGTTACATTACTATATCCAACCAGAAATGGTAGGTAGCACACAGGTAAACTGTGCTTTTATTACTAATTGTGCTATGACCTGGTGGGCCAATTAGTTTTATGTTCTATAAATACGCTAATGATTTTAGAATAGTATGGATATAAAACTATAAACACAAACCTAATTTACTTTTTCAAAATTGAAAAAAGTTGTGGGTGTAATGGTATTTTTGTATGGTAATCATAAGTAATTAAAAAATTAGAATGAAATTATCTCATTATCCACAGGTAGGAGCCAAAGTGCAAGACCAGTCCTCCAAACACAACATTGAAAGTTCTTGAATCATAATGCTGCAAAATGTTTTACTAGACTTGAGAAATTAACAAAAATCACAAATCTCTTTCACACTCCTGGCCACCTCATATTTCCCTCTGCTTTCCACATTATCACGTCAGGAAAGCAGACTCATCTACCTTATCAGTACTGTGGCAACTACCGATCTTTTCTTCTAGTCATGCCATATGTCTCCCTTTTATACTGTAAGCTCCTTGAGAGTGGGCACTGTTTCACACAGGACTTATTTCTTCCACCCCTATGTGAAACCTCTGAAACAAAACTAACCAACCAAACAAACAGCAAGTACCTGATGCTTTGCAGATATATAATAAAGACCTGACTGATCTGTGTGAGGAATATGGCCTACCAGGAGAATCATTTCAAGTCTGCCTTTCTCTCTTCTTCTCTCTCCTTCTCCTCCTCTCTCTCTCTCTCTCTCTATCTCTCTCTCTTTCTCTCTCTCTCATACACACAGAGAGTTTTAAATTTAAACAAAAAGGACACGTTTCCTCCATTAGATAAACCTCCAATGGAAAATGGGCTAATATTTTTAAGGTCCTGGGTACTCAGAAAGCCTATTTTCATGACTCTTTGGATATGGAAGGCCAGAAACAGGAGGAAGGAGAGAGGTCAACTGCGAAGCTTTGCTGTTCCACGCCAAGGCCATAAGAAATAGCCTTGACCGCTGCTTCCAAGGACGAAGAGAGCACTAGTGGCAATGCTTCTGGGGACGGGCATATCAATCCCTCTCCACTGAGGAACTACTCATGGCTTGAATTTCTCTCTCATGCAAGGCGAATCATCTATTAGAGAGTCTGATAAAGGACATCACAAGCCTCCAGACAAATGAAAACAAAGCAATCAAGACAATGGTGGAGGATGTATTCCGCTCATGGACCTGCTGGTTTGGGGAAGCCAGCTGCCATTTCATGAGCAGCACTGTAGAGACCAAGCGGTAAGGAGCTGCGTCTCCTGCCCACTGCAGTGGAGAAGTGAAGCCTGCCGGGAGCCACTTGACCGAGTAGCCTGTATGGAAACCACTCTACTCTGGGTAGGCCTTGAGGTCCCTGTCAGCCAGTCTGATCACAAACTCATGAGGGACCATAAGCTAGACCCAGTCAGCAAGCTTCGGACCAGAAAGCTGTAGAATGACATATTTGAAGTGAGGAGATGGAAACCTCCCAACAAACAAACACCACCAACCAAGAATTCTGTACCTTATAAAGCTCTTCTTTAAAAATGAAGGGAAGGCATTGCCAGATAAATAAAAGCTGAGGACATTCACTGCTAGTATATCTGCCTTAAGAGCAGTGCCAGAGGGAGTCCTTCATGCTGAAATGAAAGACACTGGACAGTAACTCAAAGCCAGATGAAGAAATAAGAACAATAAAGGTAACTACCTAGGTAAATATAAATAAAAGCCACTATTATTATACTTTTGATTTGCAGTTTTTCATTTTGTATCTTGTATGATTTAAGAGACAAAGGCACAAAACGATAATTATAAAGTTATATTAGCAGGAATGCAATATATAAAGATATGATTTGTGACAAGAACAACATAATGTTGGGGGATGACAATTATATAGGAACAGTTATTGTGTATTATTGAAATTGAGCTAGAGCCAGGTGTAGTGGTGCACTCAGGAGGCTGAGACAGGAGAATCACCACAAATTCAAGGACAGTCTGGGCCACACTGCATGACCCTGTCTCAAAAAATAAAACAAAACACACAAAAAGAAACTGAACTGGTACCAGTTAAAACTAGATTATTAAAAACTTATGAATATTACCTGTAATCCTTGTGGTAAACACTAAAAAATTATATACAGAAAAGGAAATGAAGAAAGTATGAAAATGGTACAAGAGAAAAAAATACAGAAGGCGGCTGTACTGGAGGAAATGAAAAAGAACAACAAAAAGACATAAAATATGTAGAAAACAAATAACAAAATGATACAAGTCCTTCCTTATCAGTAATCACTTTAAATATCAATGGATTAACAAAAGACAGCATGGTAGAATGGACACAATAGATGACCCAACACAATGTTGCCTGCTACAGACTCATTTTACTATGAAAGACATAAGAAGGTTGAAAGTAAAGGATGGAAGGAGATACTTCAGCAAACAGCAACCAGAAGCGTGCAGGGACAGTTATATTATCATTAGGCAAAATTGACTTAAAGTCACAAATCTTTACAAGAGACAGAGTAGAAGGCTATTATATATGGACAAAAGGGCCAATTTAAAACAAGATATAATAATTGTAAACATATATCCGTCAAACAATGGAGTCCCAAACATATGAAGCAATATTGACAGAACGGAGAAAAGAAACAGGCTGCTCTATAGTAATAGCTGAGGCTTTCATACCTCATTTTAAGTTACAGATAAAGCATGCAGACATATATAGTATGAAAAAGGATATAAAGGACTTAAACACTGTAAGTGAATTAAAGAAAACTCCATCCAACAGCAGTACATTATTTCCTCAAGTGTACATGGAACATTTTCCAGGACAGATCACATTTTAGGCTACAAAACAAACACAAAATACTAAAACTTAGGTGATACAGTGAAAACAGTGTGAAGAGAGAAATTCACAGCTATGAACAAGTGTGCATTAACAAAGGCCCCAAACCAATCACCTAAGTTTACACTTGAAGAACCAGATAAAAGAACTCAACCCAAAGCAATGCAAAAGAAGTAAATATAAAGATTAAAGTAGAGATAAATAAAATACAGAACAAAAGAATCTTTAAATGAAAAGTTAATTCTTTGCAAATATCAATACAATTTATTAACTTCTGGCTAGGCTAAGGAAAAAAAGAGAAGGTGTAGTAACTAAAATAAAAAATGAAAGGGGGGGCATTTTATAGACCTTAACAGTAGTAAAAAGCATTATAAGAGTAAGTTAAACAAGGGCTGGGGATTTAGCTCAGCGGCACAGTGCCTGCCTGGCAAGCACAAGGTTGTGAGTTCAATTCCCGGTACCAGAGAAAAACCAAAAAACGAAAGAATAAGTTAAACAAGTATACACCAACAAATTAGATGATACAGGTGAAACAGACAAATCTTCAAAACACTCATTACCAAAATTGACCCAAGATGAAACAGAAAATCTAAACAGCTCTGTAACAACTGGAGAGGCTGAAACAGTAATCAAAATCCTTCCCCAAATCAAAAGGTATAAGATCAGATGGCTTCACTGATAAATTGTACCAAATATTTAAAGAATTAATCTTTCTCCAAAATCGTCCCAAAAAATAGAATCCTAACTTATTTTATGATGTCAGCATTATCCCCCTGTACCAGAGCCAAAGATACCATATGAATAGGAAACAGATCAATTCCCCTCATGAAGATAGATGCAAGAATCCTCAACAAAATATAGCAAACTAAATCCAACAGTATTTTATTATTATACATTGATTGATTAATTGATTGATTGATTGAGACAGGGTTTCACTATGTAGTCCAGACTGGCCTTGCACTCACAGCAATTCTGCTTCAGTCTCCCAAGTGCTGGGATTACAAGCATGCACCACCATGCCCAGCTCCAATAGCATATCAGAAGGATGGTATCTGTAACTTAAGATAATGTATGAAAGCCTCAGCTATTACTATAGAGCAGCCTATTTCTTTTCTCTGGGACAAAGCTGAATTTATCCCAGGAATAAATCCTGGAAGGATGGATCACCATAATAAAATCAATGTAATATACAACATGAATAGAACTAAGGAAAATATGATCTCGATTGGTGAAGAAAAAGCATTTGTCAAAATCCACAGACTAGGGGTGTAGCCCAGTAGTAGAGCACCTCCTACCATATATGAAGCCCTAGGTTCAATTCCCAGCATCATGTATATTGAGA